GGAAAACCATGACAAAGAAATAAAGAACACAAAAGGTGAAAATGCTACCTTTCCTTCTGCATTCAGACTTCATAATTCTTTCTGTGGATGTGGATAGCATTTTCCCTCATGAATCTTTTGATACTTGTATTGCTGAGTAGAACTAGTTCTATCAAAGTTGATCATCACACAATGTTGCTGTTACTGTGTACAATGTTCCCTTGGGTCTGCTCACTTCACTTAGCATCAGTTCATGAAAATTTCTACTTTTTCTGAAATCCGTCTGCTAATCTTTTCTTATAGCACAACAGTATCCCCATTACATTCATATACCACAACTTGTTCAGCCATTCCCCAATTTCGAATTCTTGGCCATCACAAAAAGAGCTGCTATAAATGTTTTTGTACATGTGGGCCCCTTACACTTTTTTATGGTCTCTTGGTGATACAGACCTAGTAGTGGTATTGCTGGATCAAAGGATGTGCACTTTTATAGCCCTTTTGGCATAATTACAATTGCTCTCCAGAATGATTAGATCAGATCACAACTCCACCAACAATGCATCAGTGTTTCAATTTTCCTATACCTATCATTTTCCTTTTCTGTCATATTAGCCAATCTTATAGGTGTGAGGTGGTGCCACAGAATTTTTTTAAAATGCATTTCTCCAATCAATACTGGTTTAAAGCATTTTTTCATATCACTATAGATAGCTTTAATTTCTTCATTTAAAAAGTGCCTGTTCATAACCTTTGACTATTTATCATTTGGGGAATGAACTGGTTTCTTATAAATTTGACTTAGTTCTCTATATATTAGAGAAATGAGACCATTATCAGAAACACTGGCAGTAAAAATTTGTCTCCCACTTTCTGCTTTCCTTCTAATCTTCCTTGCATTGGCTTTCTACAAAAATTTTAAGTAATCAAAATTATCCTTTTTCCATTTCATAATGTTCTCTACCTTCTGCTTGGTCACAAATTCTTCCCTTCTCCATATAGGTAAACTATTCCTTGCTATCCTGGTTTCACGACCTTATTTCTTCGCCAGTACCAAATCTTTGATAATTGCCACTCTATAATATAGTTTTAAATCTGCTAAGTCTAGGCCACCTTCCTTTGCAATATTTTTCATTAATCCTCCTGACATTCTGGCTCTGTAATTTTTTGGTAGTTTGATTGGGATGGCATAAGTAAATTAATTTAGGTCAAATTGTCATTTCTTTTATATTAGCTCAGCCTGCCCCAGGGGCAACTGATATTTTGCCAACTCTTTAGATATGACTTTATTTGTGTTAAAAGTGTTTTGTAATTGTATTCATATAGTTCCTGGGTTGTCTTGGCAGGTAGATTGAGTGGAATGGATTAGGTACACAAGACACAGTCACTGACTGTAGAAATCTACTATGATAAACCCAAAGACTCCAGCTTCTGGGATAAGAACTCACTATTTGACAACAACTGCTGAGAAAGCTGGAAAATAAATAGTGTGCTGGAAACTAAGCAAAGAACAACATCGTATACAACATACAACATAACAGCCTCTTAACGTTGGGATGGCATCAGTGTGGTGGTGGTTGTCCTTTGTGCTCAAAGAGGACCAAAATGACATCACTGTGTCAGGGTCAAAGTACAGTGTGCCCATCAGTGGCTGATCAGACCAATATGAACTCAGAAGACTACAAGTTAGATACAAATACTCCATATGAACATTGGGAATGGTGCATCAATGTGGGTCAAAGGAGCTGTATTGCACAAATACTTCTTCCACTATCTTCTGTTCCCTCACCGTGTCAGCTTAGCACTGTCTCCCATCATCTTCATGCTAAATCATTTGTGCCACATTCTTTGTCCATCTGCCTATGGGAACAAGCACTCTTACATGTTCCTAACTTCTCTTGCTTGTATCCTGAACAGTTCTTCTCCCTCTCCTATCTAGCAGGGCATGGAAGGATTGAGGGAGGGAAGTAGGTATGACTCCCCACTCAGGATACAGAGTGTGACCCGTGGTTCCTGTACATGTTCTGAGCTATAAGGATGCTATACTTGTTTCTCACCTCCTTCTGCTGTGCTTAAGTAAGCCCAATCATATTGTTTTTTCTGTAGTATAAGTTCTCTGATGCCTAGTAAGATGTGCCTTCCTGAAGAAGGCCTTCCCACATACAATGCATTGATAAGCTTTCTCTCCAGTATGAATTATTTGATGTCAAATAAGTTCTGAGTTGTATGGGAAAGCCTTCCCACACTCCTTACACTCAAAAAGAAAGTTACCAATGTTAATTTGCTGATGCACGTTAAGATGTACCTTTTCTTTTGAAAGACTTTCCACATTCACTACATTCATAAGGTTTCTCTCCAGCATGAACTCTCTGATGCATTATAACATGATCTTTACTCCTGAAGGTCTCTCCACAATTCACTACATTCATTATTATAGCAGAGGGAAAGAAGGGAGGGAGATGAGCTTGTTTGAACCTTATTCTCAGCAGATTGGCTCAAGAAGAGAAATAACATAATGAATTATGTACTAATATTGATGGAATTAACCCTTCTCAGCAATACAAGGATCTAAGACATCTCCAAAGGCCTCATGATGGAAAATACTGTCCACATCCAAAGAAAGAACTATGGAATTTGAATGCATATCGAAGCATACTATTTTCTTTTTTTTTTCTTCTGTAGTGTTTTGCTTCCTCTTTCTGATGATTCCTCCTATTGGTTCTAATTCTTACAACATGACTAATGTGAAAATATGTTTAATAGGAATGTATATGTATAACCTATATCACATTGCTTAGCCTTAGGGAGGGACGTGCGGAGGGAGGAGGAAAAAAGTTTAAAACTCAAAAGCTTATGGAAGTGATTGTTGATAAATCAAAATAAATTAAAAAAAAAATAAGAAGTTGCAGAGAAAGTCTTGACCTGTACTGGTATAGAGTGTTTGTTCATCTGAAAATACCTCATAGCAATGAAGCTAAAGGTCCAGTCTCTCTTCCTACCGATTTCCACCAATGTACACTACCTCCTAATTTGAACCTCACTCCCAGACCCACTGAAAAAGGTAAGTATAAGCAAGCAAGAAAAATCAATATACTGACCATGTCTGAAAATGTGTCTTATTCTAAACATCTGCTCCATCAGTTGTCTGACATAAGGTGGGAGGAAGGATTCATTATCAAGCTTCTGAAGTTAGGATTTTCCTAGTCTCTTTCCAGGTACAGTTCTATGTTTAAAGCTACTACCCCATACACTTCACAAACAGTTTAGACTGCCTATTTAAAGGATAATTCTGACTGTGATTTTTGACATACTGATTTTAGATACAAACTCTATACAGAACAGGACCTGGTACCTAGTAAGCCCTTAATAAATGCCTGTTTCCTTTCTTAGCCACATTTTGTCTCTTGCATTTATTGTTTTCCCTGCTTTTTCTCAAATTCCCAGAAAGTTGTTTCTGACTCTACTTCTCACTCAAATCCTTTTCCCTCATCATTTAAAAAAATATTATTTATTTTAAACATTCTTTTTTAAATTGAGTTCTAAATTCTCCCTCAGTCATTGAGAAGACAAGGAATATATCAATTGTACATGTGAAATCACATAAAACATATTTCTATGTTTTAGCCGTGTTAGCCATGTCCTAAAAAAGCAAGAAAATTAAAAAGTTAAAAAATATACTTCAATTCATACTAAGTGTGGCAATGGTCAGCTCTGAAGAGTCAGAGGATTCAGGCCAGTCCAGGTTTTCCCTGTTGTTTTCCTCTATCCGATGGCTGTGTAGGTCAGGAATGTTGGCTCTCCAAACCCCCCCTCAACTTGCCCCCCGTTCTATCTCTTGAGAACAGAAGGACCTTGAAGATAACAGGGAAGAGGAGATGATCAGGGTGATTCTCCTGGTGAATGTTCCCATGAGAAAACTGCTTGTTGTTGCTTTTCCTAAAGGTATATAAACCCTTACCCTCAGATTAATAAATGGAGTCTGTCCTTTACAACCTCTCCCAGCTGACCTGCACATTTCTCTCTCTTCATACTCAACCAGCATCTAATCATAGCCACGGAGGTAGGCACTCATGGCATCTCTGGAGGTAGGCAGCAATTTTTTTTATCATGAATCCTCTGGAATGGTCTTAGATGATTTTCTTGATCACAGTAATTAAGTCATTCAGAGCTGATCATGTGCTGTTACTCTATACAAGGAGCTCCTGGTTTTGCTTACTTCACTATGCATCTATACACATAGGTCTTCCCAGGTTTTGCAAAACCATCTCCCTTGTTTCTTAGAGCACAACATTCCATCACAATCACATACGACCACCTCTTCAGCCATTCAGGAACTGATGATCGTCCCCTCAATTTCCAATCCTTTGCCCCCACAGAAAGGCCCCCCATAAATATTTTTGTACACATAGGTCGTTTTCCTTTCATCTGTGTGGAATACAGACCTAGCCATGGTATTGCTGTGTCAAAGGGTATGTACAGCTTTACAGTACTTTGGGCAGTTCCAAATTGTTCTCCACTATGCTTGGACCAGTTCTGACTTGTGCATAGTGTACCTATTTTTCCATATCTCCTCCAGAATTTGTCATTTTCCTTTTCTGTCATGTTGGCCAATCTGAGGTAGTGTGAGGTATTACCTCAAAGTTGTTTTCATGTGCATTTCTCTAATACATTTAGTAATTTAGAGTACTTTTTCATTATTATTGATAGCTTTGATTTCTTCATTGAAAACTCCCTGTTTATATTCCCTAACAATAATAGGAATCTTGTTTATCTTTTCATGTGTATCACTAAGTGGATGACAAGGCATTTGGCTACCATAAGGAGTACATAGTCAATCCTGCTGTTTACCTGCATTTCAATGATTTCTTCTCTTTCACATTCAGAGCCCTGCTTCAAAATCTGCCACAGGCCTTCGTGATGTTTTGTTTTAATTAAGATGATTCCAAGTCTTTATGGTCCACCCTGGCTACCCAAATGAACATGAGCAGAAGTAGCACCAGCAAAATCAGGAACAAAGCTCATAATGATTTATCAGATTATGCTTTATTCCTCAAGCACTGTCAACAATAATTCATCACTCATTAGACTCAGGCTCATCTGATGGCCAAGAGCTAAACCCCAAGCATCTTGCACACCATATTCCCATGGATCAAAGTTAGTACTAAGGCTCTCCACTCAGTAATCTCTGACTCAACCAGCATAAGCTCTCTCCCTGAAGGCCCATGAGAGGATAACACTAACTCTTTACCCCTTTAGAGATCTGTGCAGGGGTGGGGTGGGGTGGGGTGGGGTAGGGTGGGGGGGGGAGATATCTTCTCCCATGCAGTCTTAAGATTCTCTGAACTACATCTAGGGACGCAGAATCACAGTGTAATCAGCCGGTGGGATCTTCACACACTCCTTATATTCATGAAGAATCACTCTAGCATGAATTCTCTGATGGACATGAAGTAGGTCCTTTGTCTAAAGGCTTTCCCAAATTCAAAAGGTTTCCCTCCAGAATTAATTCTTTGATGTTGAGCAAGTTGTGTTTCAGCCTGAAGGTCTTCTCACATTCACTGCATTCATAACATCTTTCTTCAGTATGAATGCTCTAATACTGAGTAAGATCTACACTCAAGTGAAAGCCCTTTCCATGTACATTACATTCATAAGGTATGATCTGAAGTTGAGTAACATCTGATTTGTGAAAGAAGGTCTTCCTACACTACTCGTATTCATAGAGAATTTCTCCAATGTGAATTCTCTAATGCACAGTAAGGTGTAACTTCTTTCTGAAAGCCTTCTCACATTCACTATATACATAGGGTTTTTTTTCCAGCATCAATTTTTGATGTTTAATAAGATGTGAGTTGCAATGGAAGGCCTTCCCACACTCCTTACATTCATGAGGAATCATAAATTCTCTGATGGACATAAAGTAGTATCCTCAGTCTAAAGGCCTTCCTACATGCATTAAACATTTAAGGTTTCTCTCCTGAATGAATTTTTTGGTGTTGAGTAAGCTCTATGTTCACTCTGAAAATGTTCCCACATACAGTGCATTGATAAGGTTTCTCTCCAGTATGAATTTTTTTGGTCAAGTAACATCTGAGCTGTAGAGGAAAGTCTTCCCACACTCTTTACATTCATAAAGAATGTCTCAAGAATGAATTTTCTGATGCACAGTAAGAGACGCCTTTCTCTGGAAAGCCTTCTGACACTGACCACATTCATAAGGTTTCTCTCCAGTATGAATTCTTTGATGTCGAATAAGTTCTGAGTTATACAGGAAAGCCTTCCCACACTCCTTACATTCAAAAAGAATGTCACCAATGTGAATTTTCTGATGCACAATAAATTGTGTTTTACTCTTGAAGGCCTTTCCACATTCACTACATGCATAAGGTTTCTCTCCAGTATGAATTCTTTCATGCACTGTAAGTTTTGAGTTACATGTGAAGGCCTTCCCACATTCACTACATTTGCAAGGTGGATCTCCAGCATGAATTTTCTGATGATCAGTATGACCTGCTTTAGTCCTAAAAGCCTTTCCACATTCATTACATTCATAAGGTTTCTCTCCAGTATGAATTCTCTGATGCTCAGTATGACGAGCTTTCGTCCTGAAGGCCTTCCCACACTCCTTACATTCAAAAAGAAAGTTACCAACATGAATTTGCTGATGCACATTAAGATGTGCCTTTCTTCTGAAGGCCTTTCCACATTCACTACATGCATAAGGTTTCTCTCCAGTATGAATTCTCTCATGCACTGTAAGTTTTGAGTTACATGTGAAGGCCTTCCCACATTCACTACATTCGTAAGATTTCTCTCCAGTGTGAACTCTCTGATGTATTGTAAGTTGTTTCTGAATCCTGAAGGCCTTTCCACATTCACTGCATTCATACGTTTTAGGTTTTTCTCTAGTATGAATTTTTTGATGTTGAGTAAGATATGAGTTATAGGGGAAAGCCTTCCCACACTCCTTACACTCATAAAGTTTCGCTCCAGTGTGAATTCTCTGATGCACAGTAAGCTCTGACTTAATCCTGAAGGTCCTCCCACATTCACTACATTCATAAGGTTTCTCTCTAGTATGAACTTTTTGATGTCGAGTAAGATATGAATTGTAGGGGAAAGCCTTCCCACACTCCTTACATTCATAAAGCATCTTTCCAGTATGAATTCTCTGATGCACAGTAAGCTCTAACTTAATCCTGAAGGCTTTCCCACATTTACTACATTCATAAGGTTTTTCTCCAGTATGAAGTCTCTGATGCAGTTTAAGTATGTTATCCTGAAGCCTTCCTACATTCACTACATTCATAAGGATTATCTTGACCACTAGGAATTGTCTGACACATAGCAAGATGCTCCTTGCTCCAGAAGGCTTTCCCATATCCATTACATTCCAGAGGTTTATCTCCAGCAAATTCTCTGCTCTCTGAAAGGAAGAATACAGAGCTGATTAACCCTAACTTTTTCACCCTTTTCCAAGGTACTTAGTTGCTCAAAGGTTTTACAGCTATTCTCTTGCCTTCTCAAGTGAGAAGGCCAGTCTCACTAGCTTTCCACTAGAGATTGGTTTATCTTATGTGAAAGTATGATGAGTCAAAGGTAACATGTAAATAAACCGACATAAGATGAAATTACCAAGGGGGATGAATGAACCCTTACTCCACTTTCATTGGCTGACATTTGCATGGAAAATACTATGCAGAAGAAAAAACAAAAACATGATTTTGATGTATCCTTACTCTCTGAGATGAGAATAGGAAGGGAAAAGACTGAGCAGAAAGAAAATAGATAATGAAGTTTAGAGTGAGGAAAAGAAATAGATACAAGAAGTCAACAGAATAAAGAAGAAATATGAGGGTGAAAACATGACAACAGTTGCTATAAATTTCCTCTAAAAATCTAACATATCTACTTTGTAAGGAAATGAATGAAATTTGGGAGATGTAGACTTATGGTGTTTTTCAAGAGAAATTACTAATAATTACCTGAAACATTACTCAAACTCTGTAATCAAAGAAGCAAAATGAAAACAATTTGGAGGTAGCAATAAATAGCCTTCAGATTAGCAAGACACTTGAAAATGATAAATTTTGGGAATTATGTTAAAACAGCTACTTAATAAGCTGCTGCTGCTACCATTTTCTTAAAAGATAGGAATTTCAGCTAGAGCTACAAAACTGTTCATACCCTTTCAACCAATGCCCCCAGTAGTAGGTGTACATCCTCAATATGTTATTGAAAGCAAACAAAGCATTCTCAGTAAATTTTCACAACAGCCTTTTGCAAAAAAGCAAAATAATAGAGGGCAGCTAGGTGTCACAGTGGATAGAGCTCTGGCCTGGAAGTAAGGAAGACCAGAGTTCAAATATGACCTCAGACCAAACAATTGACATGCAATAACTGTGTGACCCAGGGAAAGTCCCTTACCCCCACTGCGTTAAAAAAAAAAAAGTATTCTTTAAAAACGAACAGCAAAATAATGAAAATCTGTAGATCCAATGATGTGGTTATAACTATACAACTCCTGCAATATGGACATATTAATGTGTCTTTATAAACATAATTTCAAAGCATAAAGAAAAAACAGGATGACACATAACATGATAGGCTGAAGAAATGGTAATTAGGTTAGGATTATTTTTAAAAGTAACAGCAAAGCAATACAATCATAAACCCAAAACAGAAGAAAATATCAGGAAACAATTCACAAGCAAAAAGAGCACACTAATACCTTGAATAATGTGCTTATTTTAAAAGAATGAATTCTTGCAAGTGAGGCAGGAGAACTAAGATGATCTTCAATAAACAGAAGAGAAATAACTGCCCTGTACTGAGGCAATAACTTTCTTGGAGAGTGGGGGTACATTTGAGTAAAGAGATACATTAAAAAAAATAACTTCTTGAGGTAAAAAATGAAGTTAAAAGTCTCAACTCCTCTCAACTCCTCTCAGGCAAGCTTTCATAGACCACTTTGTTCAATGTTTTTCAAGAGCTTTGACCTAAAATGACCAACAGATTACTACTTTGCAATGACCCATCTGTTTGGCTTTATGTAGTCACCTGGACTGCTGTTTCTTGGAATATCTGCCTCTGGCAAGGAAGATGCTTCCTTTCTTTCCAACTGGTCAATCACATTTGGTTTGGAAACTGCAAATCCTGTTCATTGAAAATGAAAAAGTGCAAGGCAGTCATCTCATATCGAGTTCCATCACTGAACAGGTATGAAATGCTCCCTCCAACTTTACCACAAAGGTGGGGGAATAAGGGTGCTGGATATATCTTATACCACCAAGTGCATTATGTTAGCTGATTTTGTCTCAGTTTTTTGTTTTTCTTCAATCATGGGGGCTCAATCGGTTGGTTGGAGGGAGAAGTAGGAATTTTCCTTTTTTTTTTTTAAATGGCAGGGGAAGGAGAAATTAAATTTTTTTCACCAAGTATCCACAAAACTTAATAAAAGATTTCAAAACGAGTTCAAACTCTCTTTGGAAAAAAAGGAGGCATGCTAGGAAGACTTAAAGGATAGTACAAAAGACCACTGGAAGGATACTCTGTATTATGGTAAAATAGATTACTGAGTAGGACTCGAGGGGGAAGAAACACTTCAGTTGACTTACTGACTGCTTAAGCAGTGGGAACACTGCATGATGAACCCTACATTGGGATTAAAGAGAATATCTTGGATTTGAGGTAAGAGACAGGGAAAGATACATTCTCAAGGATAACAAAAAATCAAGAAATCAATTTCCAGGCATACTAAGCTTAGACCTTTTTCCTGGAAACAGGCAGCACAAGTAATCTGTCTCTTGGCTACAAAAGGATTAGGAAGAGTTTCCTTTTGGATGCCAAAGAATAACTGTTAAAATCTTGCTCTCATAGTATATATCAAGACTCCAAAGGGGTAGCTGTTCTTACCCAAAGACACCAGGTTCCTATAGTTCTCCAGCATCACATCCCTGTACAATTTTTTCTGAGATGGGTTCAATTGTACCCACTCTTCCTGGGTGAACTCCACAGCCACATCCTTGAACGTCACTGATTCCTGAAATACCAAAACCATTTGTACTTACCCAGCCATAGCTCTTGACTGTTATGAAGTTCAAATATAAACTACTTGCCATTAAGGTGAGGGAATTGAGGGTTTTAGGACAGCAAGTGGTACAGGCAATTGAGTCAACCACACTGACTCTATTTTGTGACTCAATTCTGGGAGTAGCTCAGTTCTATTTCTGCTCAATTATAGGTCTAGTCCAACTTCGGTATTATGAGAAAAATTTATTCAATTGTAGGAATTGGGAGAAACCTAATTGCATTGTTTGAACTTAGTGCATGTCAGAAATGAGAGCTACTCTAAGTGCTGTTCAGTCCTTAAGGACCTAGGTCATGCTGATCAGAAACCCAGTCAATGGCAAAAACACTGATGTAAGGAGTTTTCTCACAATTGTACATCTGAAGCAAACCATAAGTCTTATCTCAAAGCTGCCCCCTACTGAACAATTACTTACTGTTCCCACATTATTTCATCGTATTCTACTTTCAGGTAGTGGGACACCTCATTCTGAATTTAGGGAACTGAACCTGTTGCCTTTACCCCTCCTGACATGAAAAGTCCCCAGTCGTTTCTCCAATTAGAAATCAGATTACCTAACATTTTATTATTTGCTTTTAATTAATTGGTCTTCTTTGATTGTTTTAAATTTATAAAAGTATGCCTTCCCCTATTCAGGGTCCAGCCCTAACATGAGGAAGGGGCCTGGTCCCAGTTTTTTGTGAAACAACCATGCATTGGTTAATATACTGATATGCCGAAAAAATTTAATCTTTGTTTCTACAGCCATTTCATCTTTCACTTGCCATAAGGAATTATTTCATTTATTTATTTGCATACCAGTACAGTGTCTGGTATATAGCAGGCACTTAAGAATTCCTCTCCCAAAAAGAACTAATATAAGTGTGTATAGAATGGTTTTACATTCACATATACATATATACATACATACATACACACATACACACAGACATAGACATTTGTATCTCATTGCAGCCATCTCTACAGTTTGGGGGGGAGGGAAAAAATTTATATGAAATTTTATTACATATTAAAAGGAATAGCAAGTTGTAGATAACAGATTTTTAGTTTCCTATACAATCATCTTTTTTTATTACATATGTATTGGAAGTGCTTGTTTTATTCCATAAATTAAAAATTAAACAAACAAAACTTTAAACAAAAAGAATTCCTCTCTGATCAGTCTGTAAATTCCTTAAGGGAAGGAGCTATTATTGTCATCCTTGGTATCCTCGGCACCTTAGCACAGTGCCTGGCACTAGGTAGGTATTTAAAAAATGCTTATTGTTATAAATGGTTCCAATGACATCAATTTTAAACTTGTCCTTCATTTTTTTTTTACACTGAACACCCATGGCTCCTACTTCTACCCTCTGAGCTGAAGGAGTAATATGGCTAATTTCTTTTGTACTCACTGAAATAAGCAACGAAAATGAAATAGCTAAAGATAGCTATCATGTAGTCCTAAGTCTTCACTTCCAATCTAAACAACCCCAGTTTCTTTGACCAATCAGCCTGGTCTCTTCACAAATAAGACAGTTACCTTCCTCCTTTTCATCCAATCACTGTGCTTCTTAAAATGTGCTGCTCTGAAATGAACACCATTGCTTTCCATGCTCCTGGAACCACAAGAGCAAAGGCAGCATGAGGGACTACAATCTCCTGTCTGTAACAGCATGTGAACAATTTTTTACTATTGAAAAAGGTGTTAAAGGACCATTACTTTCCAATTCATGTATTTAGAGAGGGAAGAAACTTAAGAATTCAATTTTCTCATGTTACAAATTAGGGAAGTGAGGCCTTCAGATGGAAAGTTGACTTGCTTCAGGTCAAAAGGGGAGGAAATGGTGGATCTACACTTTGAGCGCAGGCCCTCCTGGCTTCAAATCCAGGGCTATTCTTAATGTATAATGTTGCCATTCCCTTTCAGTATAACCAGTCCAAGGCCACAATTCTGTTTTTGGACAAAAACATTCATAAGAACACTCTTTGAGGCAGCAAAGAACTGGAAACAAACTGAATTCTCACACTAAAAAATAGGTGAAAAAATGGCATATGAATAACAGTCATTTATATAATTAAAAATGATAAATATAAGCAATTCTGAGAAGCATTTGAAGATATGCATTAACTGCTACTGCAAAATAAGCAGACCTAACAAGATATAATACACAAAAACTTCAAAAATATAAATAATTTAAAAAAGATTCTGAATTATGAAAAAAAATAGTCCAAGAAACATTTGGGGTGGATTATCTAAATTTAATCATCTCATATTTCTTTTGAGCTACTTCCATTCTGCTTTGCTGAAAGAGCACAGCACCTTCTCTTATGAGGGCAAGCCATGATGGGCAGTCCTGTACCAGTGTCTCTCAAGTCACACATCCCATTCCAAAGTTCTTAAAAGAGACCTTGAGAATCCTTCCTGTTACACCAAAGTATCAGGAACAAGGGGATACCCATCAACTGGTAAATACCTGATGATTTCATGAAGTGGAATATTATTGTGCCCTATGAAATCTTGAAAACGATACTTTCAAAGAAAATAGGAAGACTTGTATAAAGCAATGAAGGGAGAAAATAGCAGAACTAAGAAAACAATTTACAAATGAGAATAAACATGCTACCTAAAATCTGACAGAAATGTGGTGACAAACTTGTTTATTTATTTTACATGCCTATGCTTACTGGCTATAAGTGCATCGTGGTTTCCTTTTTTTACTCGAGGTGCAAGGAGAGGGTAGGATTCAAAAGGAAGAAGCTAGAGATACTGTTGTCAGAAAAAAAGAAAAAGATGCACAGAAGAGAAGAGAAGGAAGTTGAAAAAGAAAAAGAGGACAGTTTTAAAAGTCACCTGTTGAATTTATTAGAAGAGAACAACCAAAAAAATCTATACTGAAGCCTCAAAGAAACATGCAGTTTAGACAAAAGCCCAACAAGAACTGATGGAGTTGTGAACTGATCTGACCGTTCTGGAGAGCAATTTGGAACTATGCCAAAGGGCTATAAAACTGCACATTTTTTAATCCAGCAATACCATTACTAGGTCTGTATCCCAAAGAGATTATAAGAAGGGAAAGGGACCCACATGTACAAAAATATTTATAGCAGCTCTTTTTCTGGTGGCAAAGAATTGTAAATTGAAAGGATGCCTATCAATTAGGGAATGGCTGAACAAGTCGTGGTACGTGAATGTGATAGAATACAATTGTGCTATAAGAAATAATGAGCAGGCAGATTTCAGAAAAACAGGGGAAGACTTATATGAACTGATGCTGAGTAAAGTGAGCAGAACCAGGAGAACATTATACACAGTAACAGAAAAATTGTGTAATGATCAAGTTTGACAGACTTGGCTCTTCTCAGCAACACAATGATGTAAGACAATTCCAAAAGACTCATGAGGGGAAATGCTATCTACATCCAAACAAAGAACTATGGAGACTGAATTCAGAGCAAGCATACTATTTCCACTTTTTTTGCTTTTTATATTGTTCTTTCTCGTGGCTTTTTCCACCCTATTCTGATTCTTTTTTCGCAACAATTATGTTAATATGAGTGTATATGTGTAACCTATATCTGACTGCTTGCCATCTAGGAAAAAGGGAAAAAAAGGCTGGGAGGGAAAAAAAATTTTGGAACTCAAAATCAAAAGTGAATGTTGAGAACTATCTTTACATGTAACTAGAAAAAATATATATATTTTCAAAGAATTTATACCTCTTTCTCCAATTGGCTTTCTTTTCATAATTTTTTCAATTGCTTTTTTTTTCTAATTTTTCCTCAATCTCTCTCTTCTAATTTTTCAGCTCCATTTTAAGTTCAATTAAGAGTTCTTTTTGGGCTAGTGAACATTTCACATTACTTTCTGGGACAGGAGGGACTTTTTTTTAACCTCACTATTTTCCTCTGAATATAAACCCAGATACTCTTTATCACCAAAGTATCTATCTATGATTAGGTTCTTTTTCCTTTGCTTGCTTATTTTTATTTTCAGCAGTTTATTATAATCAAGTTTTAATCCCCAAGCTCTGGGTAAAGTTGCCCTAGGCCTCAAGTCCTGTTTACTGTTATTTTCTGAATTCTGTCCAAGGGCTCAACCTCAGGGACTCCTCTCCTCCCTTAAATCACAGTTCAGGCCTCTAGCCATTCTGTCCCCAAAATGTTCTTCCTCCCTGTGGTACTGCGCTCACCAGGTATGGGCTCACTTTTCACTAACAGCTACAACCCCAGATAACTTCTGGTTAGCTCTGCTAGATGTAGCTTTGGGAAACAGAGGGAGGGGGCTGGAGGGTTTTTCAATCTTCCTACACTCACCCATCTGCTGGTCCTTAGGCAAAAGTTTGAGGTGCAAGTTTGTGAGGTAAAATTTCTTGAGGCCTAGCTTGCTTCGTGACAGAGCTGATCCAGGGTTTGTTCTTTGTTGATTCAGTAAAGTCAGCCTGGAAGTGACTACACTTCACTTACCCCAAGACTCAGACCTTGGAGGGACCTCTCTTTTCTAAGATCATCTCAAGTTTTCTTAGGAGAACAACTGCTTTACCCCTTTATTTCTGCTGCTCTCCATTCATTTAATGGCAATTTTCCATCTGTTTGGAGGAAATATGGAGAGCATTTTCTTTTCTATGAATTTTCCTGTCTTTTTCCATTTGGCCTACTCTGTTTTTTATGGAGTTATTTTCTTCAACATTTTTTTGTGTCTCATTTACCAAGCTGCTGACTTATTTTTCATGACTTTCTTGCATCACTCTCCTTTCTCCTCTGCTTACTTGATTTTCAAAATGTTCTTTAAGCTCTTTCATTGCCTGACACCAATTAATATTCTTCTTGTAGATTTTGGATGTAGGAGCTTTGACTTTGTTTTCTTCTGAGTGTGTGTTCTGATCTTCCTTCTCACCATAGTAATTTTCTATGGTCACAATAGGGCTGTACTCACTCCTGTGACCCACTCCCACCAAGGTGCAACAGACCTTTCCTGCTGACCTTCTAAGTTGTTTTTGGCATCTGTAGGCTGAGAGATCTGGAAACCACCACTGCTGCCAGTAATTCAGTCACCCCAAGGCCTGCTTCCAGTTTGCTGGGCCCTGATTGCACTGGCACAACCTGTGCAGAACTGCACTACTCTCTCACCTTGGTGCAATACACATTTCCTGAAAACCTTCTAAGTTTTCTTGTTTCATTCTGACTTTTTGTAGGTTCCACTGCTCTAGAATTTGTTTAGAATAATTATTAAAGGTATTTGGAGGGTGTGGGGAGGGGGCCTCAGGGGAGTCCCTGCCTTTTTTACACCGCCATCTTGGCTCCAGCTTACATTAAATTAACTTTAAAAGGTTTTGTATAAATGAAACAAATGTTGCCAAGATCAGAGGGAAAGCAAGAAATTGCAAAAAATATTCTCTAGACTGTTCTCAGATAAAGGTCTTATATCTAAAATATATAAAGAATTTTGTGAAATGTGTAATACAAATCATTCCTTGATTGATAAGTGGCCAAAGCATATGAACAGGCAGTTTTGTAACAAAGAAATCAAAACAATTTATACTGATATGAAAAAATGCTCTAAATCATAATTGATTAGAGAAATGAAAATTCAAACAACCTAGAGATATCATTTTATACCTATCAGTGTGGCTGAAATGATAGATAGGGAAAGCAACAAATATTGGGAGGGGATGTGGAAAAACTGGGACACTAATTCATTCTTGGTGGAATTGTCAACTGATCTAACTAACTATTTTGGACAGCAACTTGGAATTTTGCCCAAAAAGCTACTAAACTATCTATACTCACTGATCCAGCAATACCGATACTAGATCCATTTCCAAAGATGATTAGGGAAAAAAGAAAAGAACCCATATGTTCTCAAATGTTTATAGCAGCTCTCTTTCTGGTGGCAAAGAACTGGAAATTGCAGGGATGCCCAACAAGTGGGGAATGGCTGAACAAGTCGTGGTATACGATTATTATGGATTATTACTGTAATATAAGAAATGATGAGTGCAATGATCTTAGAAAGACTTACAGACAGCCAAGGGAACATTGTATATACTAATAGCAATGTTGTTTTAAGAACGAATTTGAACGAATATGTTATTTTGATTACTGTAAATACCTAAATCAACTATGAAGGACATATGAAGACATTATCTGCATCCAGGGAAAGAACTGAAAATTAAAGGATGTATAGAAGAATTTTACATACATATATATACATACAGGGATACACACAAACACACACACGCTCCTACTTGTGTCTAATGGTAGCCATAGTGGGGAGGAGGGAGAAAAAAAAATTCACACGGTAACTTTGTAATACATTTAAAAAGAATAACAAGTTGAACATAACAGATTTGCAATTTCATATGTAATTCGTTTTTTAATTTATGTTATGAAAATGCGTTTTATCCCATGAATTACAAATGACATCAATAAATGTGAAAAGTGAGAAGAAATAGGAAGACTGAGCACAGCAGCAGCAGTAATGACCAGCTGTGAAAGACTCAGCCACTCTGATGAATACAATGACCCAGGAAAAGTTTAAAGGACACATTATAAAAAACGGAGAGAACTGATGAACTTTGAGTAAGGACTGAAGCACATTCTTTTTCACTTTCATTTTTCTTACTTTTTTTTTTTGAACCAGGGCTAATATGGAACTGTTCTGCATTACCTTACATGCATAATAGTTATCCTATTTTTTCCTTCTCAAAGGGCGAGGGAAGGATTGGAAGTTGGGAAAGGATTTAGAATTCAAAATTTGAAAAAAACACAAAGTAATTATAAGTTCTTTTTTTTTCAGTGCGGAGAGGATGCAGTGTTGTCTGTGGTTATATGATTCTCTGATGGCCACAATTCCTACTGTTACAGCACAGGACAAAGAAGCTGCAAACGGCACTCACCTTCCTGGGCCTGGCTGTCAGGGCAGCAGCCATTCCCTCTTCCTTCAGGCTGTCCTCCTGGGGCAGAGCAGAGGCCACAGAAGGTAGAGCTGGGGAGGAAATGAGAACCAGGAAACGAGGGGTCACACCGGAGGTCCGCCATGCTCAGACCAGATATTGCCACTTCTCCACTGCTGGGAGATCGCGGAGGAGGCAGGGAGCTGGGGGCGTGACTGAAGAATTAGAACCCACCCCCAGGTTCCGCCTCTGCCTTCTAGGCCTCGAAACCCGGCCTGCCCCCAGGCAGGGGCCGGCCACAGACCCCTGGGAGCCCCTTGAGGGCTTTCTTCCTCCTCTAGGAGACCCTCCTCCCATTCTCCTTGAGCTTCCCAGCCAATCCCCGGTGCTACGACCCCACCGCACCCCAGCAGCCAGCTCCGCCTGGGCCTGGCCCCGCTCACCCTGTCACACTTCGGCTCAGGACAGAGAAGGGGAAGCAGGAACCAGCAAGGTTGGAAGAGGTGGACAGAACAGGAAGCGGAAGTGTCATAGTAAGAAGGAAGTCCAATCCTCCCTTCCTTGAGGTTGAGAAATTGCCCCTGAGGCGACCACGGCCTTCTGAAGGGTGCGGTGCGTTGGGTGCATGCCTGGGGCTCGGCCTCTCCAGGATCCTAAATGGTGTCCTACCTCCCTGCTTGCCCCGCCCCTCCACGACTTTCCTGCCAGGATCCCCGCCCCCTCCAGTCCTCCCCTGGTGGGAGTCAGCAGGTCTGGGGTCACAGACCTTGAGGGGTCCTCCTAGAGTACTTAAGGCCATAGTCTATTCCGCTGGCAGCCAGTCACAACAGGTCGCGACTGTAATGAAATGCTTCCCCTGCACCAGCATCTTACCGCAGGAAGCGACGCAAACACGCAGGGAAGACACGGTCTGAGGAGGGAGACCATGAGCTGGGGCAGGATGCCGGGAGCACTCGCTCAGCCCCCTGGGGCTTCCAACAGGAGCAGGACAGGAGTGAGCCCTGGGTAGCAGACGAGGTCAAGGGGCCGCCAGCCAGAGCCAGGCCGTGCTCGCTTTATCTCTGTTTCCTCTGCCAAGGAGACTGACCTGAGGGAAACCAGGAGACGCTGAGAACGTTTGGCTGGGCCTGGGGAATGCCAGTCTTCTGGTAGATGGGCTCAATAAAACTCAGAGCTAACGTTTACGTGCAGCTCACTGTATTCCAGGCAAGGCTAAGTAACTTACAAGGACTACCTCGTCTAGTCCTCACACCAACCTTGGGAAGTAGGTGCTCTTAAAGACCCTATTTTATAGACGTGGAAACTGGGGTAAAATGACTTGCCTAGGGTCCCACAGCTAGCAAGTGCCTGAACTTGGATTTGAGCTCAGGTCTGAGAGAGGTAACAGCAACAATGGGACAAGTTTGATTCATAACAGGACTTCATCACCGGAACATGGGTAATTGGTGCTTTTCTGAGTTCAAAGACTACCTGGTCAGAGCAATATCACAATTATATGATTTTGCCAGAGGGTGATATCACCCAGATGGTGAGGACAGAAGATCACTGCTATGCCAAGCTCAGGACACAGCTTGCTTACTTGGCCTTAGCCCTGGAAAACAAGGTATTTCTGAATAACCTGACAAGTGAATATTGACAAGCAATAATTTAGCCTGGTACCATCAGCCACCAAGACAGTCTCCCAAGCTCCTGATCTTTGCTGCTACCATCCTGCATTCTGGAGTTCCTGCCCGGTTCAGTGGCAGTGGGTCTGGGACAGACATACTCTCACACTCATCACTGTAGAGACTGAAGATGCTGGACTGCATTACTATCACCATCATTACAGCTGGCCTGTCACAGTGATCCAGCCCTGAACAAAAACCTCCTGGTGAAATTTGGTTGCTTTAGCATAGGGTCACAGCAGTGACTGCTGTCTTGTCAGGACTGAGCTCTGTTGCCCCCATCTCGACCCCCACTTCCTAACTCATCTGGGGCTCCACATTATTCACACATTAGATTTTCCCAACAAAGGCAGGGCAGAGAGCTGAGAATAATCCTGACAGGGATTTGGGGGAATGTGGGAGGGACATAAGTTGGATAATTAATATTAATATTGCAGATACATCCAAAATACATCATTCTATCCTTCATGTTCACATTAGAGAAGCAAAACTGTGGGTTTTACTAAGAATGACAAATGCTGGCTCATTTTGATCCAAGCCTCACACCCTTCAGGTAAATCAGGCAGCTAGATGGCACTGCCTGAATTCAGGAAGAATCCTTTTCTTGAGTTCAAATCTGGCCTCTGACACTTATTGGCTGTGTGACCCTGAGCAAGTCACAGAACTTGGTCTGCTTCAGTTTCTTTATCCATGAAATGAGATGGAGGAAGAAATAGCAAACCACTCCAGTATCCCGGCCAAGAATACCCTAAATGGGGTCACAAAAGGGTCAGACACGACTGAAATGACTGAACAACAACCGACCTTACATCCACGTCTGCATTCATTCACAGTCATTCAGGGTAAGTCATCAAGCATTTTTAAGCACCTTCTGTGTGCCAGGCACTGTGCTAAGTGGTGCAGGTACAAAGACAGGGAAAATCAACCTCTGCTCTCAAGGACCCAGTCAGTGGGAGACAACAACAGGCACCCAGCTATGTACAAACAGTATGTAGGCAGGATAAATTGGAGTTAATCAGTAAAAGGTCCATTCTGGGATTAAGGGGATGGGGGGAAAGTTCTTGCTGAATGGACATGAGATTTTAGGTGGGACCTGAAGGAAGCCTGGGATGCCAGGAGATGAGCAGGAGGAAGGAGAGAGCTCCAGGCATGGGGCAAAGCTGGTAGAAATGCTCAGTCAAGAAATCGGTTCTGAGAGATGATTTCTCAGAAGTGAAGCCTCCTCAAAGGGTCATTAGTTCTTGTTAATGGTTCTGGTATTGTTGCTTTTGAGTGGTACATTTTTACCAACACTAAGTGAAGACCCCTCAGAATGCAAGACCCCCTCCCCTAGCCTTCTCCCTCCCCTGCTCTTAGGTAGTGTTAGCAGAAATTCCTGAGCCACAAGAGCATCCTGCCTATCTCATCCTCTAGTTAGTTATATGATCTTGGGTAAAAGACTGCTGAAAATGTGAGGCCTTGAAAAGGGGAACGTGCTAACATAATTTCAACATCTCTTTGTTCTCTCTGTTACTGGGGTAGTTTTTACACAAATAGATTGTATACCTGAGACTCAGTCAATGAGCCCACGGGAAGAGGGTTAGGGTGGTCTGCTACATTAGGGTCTATATAATCTTGCCTTAAACAAAGAGCACTCAAACTCTCGGAGCAGCTGAGGCAGCATGGGGGTGCACTTTTTCGAGAAAGTCAATAAAGAGATCTCTCCTTTTTGCAAATTTTTGTCAAGACTCTGGTTTTTAACTGAGTGAAACAATGTAAACAATGTGAGATCTCTCAGATGGACTGAGTGTAGCAATTTCTTAGACTGTTACAAACTCAAGGTTGGTTACACTACCCTGAATAGGCCTAAGTTTCAGGTTCCTAGAAATCACATGATTTGTATTGTTACATCAGCATTAGGTAATGGGTAATTAATAAATAAGGATAAATAGCTAGGATTAGTGGTATTATAATGTGGTTTCTTGTTTCTGGGGTAGATTTTTCCCATTTTAGATTGTAAGGCTGAAATTCCTGTCCAATGCAAATTCAAAGCCAGTGGTGGGTTGGTATCTCTATGTTAGGGGTATATAACCTTTGTCCTGGCCTTTGTGCCTTGCCTCCCTTCCCTCAGACTGCTAACTAAGCAGACGCCCGCTTCTCAGAGAATGTAATAAATCTTTCACTTTATACCTAGAAAATCTGAGCGTTATTTTTGGGCAGCTATAGCACACCAGGTTGTTGATGTGTTATAGTAGTGCAGAAAGACTGCAAAAGGAGGAGGCAGCCAGGTTAGGAAGAGTTTAGAAAACCTCATAGGACATTATATTTGATTCTGGAATAGAAAACCACTGCAATTTATTGAATACAGAACTGACGTGAAGAGACCTTAAATAGAGGATCAATTGAACAGCTGAGAGGGAAATGGACTGGATCAGGGACAGAGTTATGGCAGGGAGAGCCATCAGAAGGCCTTTTTTTGGGTGTGTTTTTTTTTTTTTTGGTGAGGGCAGTTGGGGTGAAGTGACTTGCCCAAATCACTTTCTTGTGGATGTCTTTTATCTATGTTCCCATCATCCTGAATGTGTCCTACACATGTGGCTATACCTCTTTGAAACTGTCTGACCTCACTTCATCTCAGAAGCTAAGAAGTGACCGGTCAGGCTTAGATAACATGTGGATAGGAGATTGCCTAGGAATGTTTGCTACTGCATCTGAGAGTCAGAACAGTGTAATGCATACAGTAGTGGACTTGGAATAAGGAAGGCTTATTTTCAGATCTCACCTCAGAAACTTAGTAGTCCTGTGATTACAGGCAAGTCACTCCATGTCTCTATGCTTCAGTTTCCTCCTCTACAAAATGAGGACTTTAGTCACAATCACTCTTCAATGGGATTTTTTTTTAATTAAGCAAAATCTGTTCTAATTTTCTTTCCCTCCCAAATCCAGTGTATGTCATCACCAGTCCTCTGGTCCACAGACTAACAGTTTAGATCTCCACTCCGAAATGGCTTTTATCATTCGAGATGATACAAACCAGGGAGTCAAGCAGTCTCAGGAATCACTTAGAACAGGGCTCAGGGACTTCAGGTGTGAGAGACCAATGTTTTTTTAGTGGTGGTGGTGGTGGTGGTGATTTGCATTGTTTGTTTTTTAAAGAAATGGGAAATAGAAAGCTCCCACTCAAGCAAGGGGAATTATACTCTAAATCTCTCAGGAATAACAGAAATCTGTGCAGGATCAGAAATAAAAAATCAGAAATCAGAGATCAGGGTGGCATAACTGCACAGAGGTGACCAGATCTGCTACTCCCTTCAACCCATTATTCACTGTCAAGGTTCTACCAGAAAATCTTTCATCCCACTCACCATCTCCTCCCAAAGAGCTAAGGCACCATCTGGCTAAGCTGAAGAGTCTCAAACTGAAGTAGTTGGAAGATTCTCCTGAACAAGCCCCTGTAGCAGCCTCATTTTTTCTTACATAATAGTATTTTATTTTTCCAGTTACATATAAGGATAGTTTTCAACATTCCCTTTGATAAGATTTTGAATTTCAATTTTTTTCTCATCCCCCTCCACCCCAGACAGTATGCAATCTGATATAGGCCATAAATAGATGTACAATCATATGAAACATATTCCTACATTAGTCATGTTATGAAAGAAGGATCAGAACAAAAGGGAAAACCATGAGAAAGAAATAAAAAACAAAAAGGTGGAAATGCTACCTTTCCATCTGCATTCAGACTTCATACTTCTTTCTGTGGATGTGGATAGCATTTTCCCTCATGAATCTTTTGATACTTGTATTGCTGAGTAGAACTAGTTCTATCAAAGTTGATCATCACACAATGTTGCTGTTACTGTGTACAATGTTCCCTTGGGTCTGCTCACTTCACTTAGCATCAGTTCATGAGAATTTCTAGATTATTCTGAAATCCATCTGCTAATCTTTTGTTAGAGCAGAACAGTATTGTATTACATTCGTATACCACAACTTGTTCAGCCATTCCCCAACTGATGGGCATCCCCCCAATTTCCAATTCTTGGCCACCACAAAAAGAGCTGCTGTAAATATCTTTGTACACGTGGGCCCCTTACACTTTTTTATGATCTCTCAGCAATACAGACCTATTAGTGGTATTGCTGAATCAAAAGATGTGCACTTTTATAGCCTTTTGGGCATAACTTCAGTTGCTCTCCCGAATGATCAGATCAGGTCACAACTCTACCAACAACGCATTGGTGTAACTTTTCTGTCATATTAGCCAATCTGATAGATGTGAGGTGGTACCTCAGAGTTGTTTTTATATGCATTTCTCCAATCAATAGTGGTTTAAAGTATTTTTTCATATGACTATAGATAACTTTAATTTCATCTACAAACTTCCTGTTCATAACCTTTGACCATTTATCATTTGGGGAATGAACTGTTTTCTTATAAATTTCACTTAGTTCTCTATATATTAGACAAATGAGACCATTATCAGAAACACTGGCAGTAAAAACTTCTTTCCCACTTTCTCCTCTCCTTCTAATCTTGGTTGCATTGCCTTTGTACAAAAATTTAAAGTACTCAAAATTATCCTTTTTCCATTTTATAATGTTCTCTACCTTCTGCTTGGTCACAAATTCTTCCCTTCTCCATATAGGTAAACTATTCCTTGGTCTCCTGATTTGCTGATGGTACTACCATTTATGTCTAAATCATGTCCCCATTTTGACTTTATTTGGCTGATCTACAACCTTATTTCTTAACCAGTACCAAATCTTTGATAATTGCCACTCTATAATATAGTATCAGATGTGCTAAAGCTAGACCACCTTCCTTTGCAATATTTTTCATTAATCCTCCTGAGATTCTGGCTCTGTAATTTTTTGGTAGTTTGATTGGGATGGCATAAGTAAATTAATTTAGGTCAAATTGTCATTTCTTTTATATTAGCTCAGCCTGCCCAGGGGCAACTGATATTTTGCCAACTCTTTAGATATTACTTTATTTGTGTTAAAAGTGTTTTGTAATTGTATTCATATAGTTCCTGGGTTGTCTTGGCAGGTAGATTGAGTGGAATGGATTAGGTACACAAGACACAGTCACTGACTGTAGAAATCTACTATGATAAACCCAAAGACTCCAGCTTCTGGGATAAGAACTCACTATTTGACAACAACTGCTGAGAAAGCTGGAAAATAAATAGTGTGCTGGAAACTAAGCAAAGAACAACATCGTATACAACATACAACATAAGAGCCTCTTAACACTGGGATGGCATCAGTGTGGTGGTGGTTGTCCTTTGTGCTCAAAGAGGACCAAAATGACATCACTATGTCAGGGTCAAAGTACAGTGTGCCCATCAGTGGCTGATCAGACCAATATGAGCTCAGAAGACTACAACAAGTCAGATACAAATACTTCATATAAACATTGGGAATGGTGCATCAATGTGGGTCTGTCAAAGGAGCTGTATTGCACAAAAACTTTGCCCACTATCTCCAGTTCCCTTACTATGTCACCTTAGCACTGTCTCCCATCATCTTCATGCTGAATCATTTATGCCACATTCTTTGTCCATCTGCCCATGGGAACAAGGACTCTTACATGTTCCTAACTCCTCTTGCTCATATCCTGTACCATTTCTTCTCCCTCTCCTATCTAGCAGGGCATGGAAGAAGGATTGAGGGAAGGTAGGAGGTATCACTCCCCACTCAGGATACAGAGTGTGACCCATGGTTACTGGACATGTTCTGAGCTATAAGGATGCTATACTTGTTTCTCACCTCCTTCTGCTGTCCTTAAGTAAGCCCAATCATATTGTTTTTTCTCTAGTATGAGTTCTCTGATGCCTAGTAAGATGTGCCTTCCTCAAGAAGGCCTTCCCACATTCAATGCACTGATAAGTTTTTTCTCCAGTATGAATTATTTGATGTCGAATAAGTTCTGAGTTTTATGTGAAAGCCTTCCCACACTCCTTACATTCAAAAAGAAAGTTACCAATATGAATTGGCTGATGCATGTTAAGATGTACCTTTCTGGTAAAGGACTTTCCACATTTATGACATTCATAAGGTTTCTCTCCAGTATGAATTCTCTGATGCACTATAAGTTTTGAGTTACACATGAAGGCCTTCCCACATTCACTACATGTGCAAAGTTTCTCTCCAGTATGAATTCTCTGCTGCACTGTAAGATATGAGTTAGTCCTGAAAGCCTTCCCACACTAAATATATTCATAACGTTCCTGTCCAGCATAAATTCTCTGCTGCATTATAAGTCATTTCTTAATCCTGAAGGCCCTTCCACATCCACTACGTTCATAAGGTTTCTCTCCAGTATGAATTTTCTGATGCATGGCAACCTCAAACTTTTTCCTGAAGGCCTTCCCACATTCACGACATTCATAAGGTTTGTCTACTCCAGTATGAACTCTCTGATGCACTATAACATGATCCTTACTGCTGAAAGCCTTTCCACATTGCCTACATTCATAAGGTTTCTCTCCAGTATGAACTCTCTGATGCACGTTAAGCTCTGAGTTACTCTTGAAGGCCTTCTCACATTCAATACACTCATAAGGTTTCTCTCCAGTATGAACTCTCTGATGCACGTTAAGCTCTGACTTACTCCTGAAGGCCTTCCCACATTCACTACATTCATAAGGTTTCTCTCCAGTATGAATTCTCTGATGCACAGTAAGCTCTGACTTACTCTTGAAGGCCTTCCCACATTCACTACACTCATAAGGTTTCTCTCCAGTATGAACTCTCTGATGCACGTTAAGCTCTGACTTACTCCTGAAGGCCTTCCCACATTGACTGCATTCATAAGGTTTCTCTCCAGTATGAACTCTCTGATGCACAGTAAGCTCTGACTTACTCTTGAAGGCCTTCCCACATTCACTACATTCATAAGGCTTCTCTCCAGTATGAATTCTCTGATGCACAGTATGATTTCCCTTACTCCTAAAGGCCTTTTTACATTCACCACATTCATAAGGTTTCTCTCCTGTATGAATTCTCTGATGCACTATAAGATGATCCTTACTGCTGAAAGCCTTTCCACATTCCCTACATTCATAAGGTTTTTCTCCAGTATGAATTCTCTGATGTACTATAAGATGATCTTTATTCCTGAAGGCCTTTCCACATTCAGTACACTCATAAGGTTTCTCTCCAGTATGAATTTTCTGATGCACAGTGTGATTTCGCTTTTTCTTGAAGGCCTTCCCACATTCACTACATTCATAATGTTTCTCTCCAGTGTGAATTCTCTGATGCATTCTAAGCTGTTTCTTAATCCTGAAGGCCTTTCCACATTCACTACATTTATAAGGTTTCTCTCCAGTATGAATTTTTTGATGTTTAATGAGATATGAGTTATAGGGGAAAGCCTTCCCACACGCCTTACATTCATAAAGCTTCTCTCCAGTATGAATTCTGTGATGCACAGTAAGTTCTGACTTACTCTTGAAGGCCTTTCCACATTCACTACATTCATAAAGTTTCTCTCCAGTATGAATTCTCTGATGCACTGTAAGTTGTGTCTTACTCCTGAAGGCCTTTCCACATTCACCACATTCATAAGGATTATCTCCAATATGAATTGTCTGACACACACCAAGATGCACCTTGCTCCAGGCTTTCCCATATCCATTACATTCAAGAGGTTTATCTCCAGCAAATTCTCTGGTCTCTGAAAGGAAGAATACAGAGCTGATTAACCCTGCCTTTTTCACCCTTTCTCACGGTTCTTAGTTGCTCAAAGATTTTAGAGCTATTCTCTTGCCTTTTCACTTAAGAAGGCCAGTCTCAGTAGCCTTCCACTACAGACTGGTTTATCTTATGAGAAAGTATGATGACTCAAAGGTAACATGTAAATGAATTGACATAAGATGAAATTACCAAGGGGGATGAATGAACCCTTACTCTACTTTCATTCGCTGACATCTGAATGGAAAAGACTATTCAGGAAAAAAAAAAACAACAGATGATTTTGATGAATCCTTACCCTCTGAGGTCAAAATAGGATGGGAAAAGACTGAACAGAAAAAAATACATAATGAAGTTTAGAGTGAAGAAGAAAAATAGATACAAGAAGTCAACAGAATAAAGAAGAAATATGAGGGTGAAAACATGAGAACTGTTGCTATAAATTTCCTCTAAAAATCTAACATATCCACTTTGTAAGGAAATGAATGAAATTTGGGAGATGTAGACTTACGGTGTTTTTAACAACAGAAATTACTAATAATTACCTGAAATGTTACTCAAACTTTGCTAATCAAAGAAGCAGAAATGAAAACAATTTGAAGATAGCAATAAATAGCCTTCAGATTAGCAAGAGACTTGAAAATGATAAGGTTTGGGAATTATGTTAAAACAGGTACTTAATAAGCTGCTGCTGCTGCTACCATTTTTCTTAAAAGATAGGAATTTCAGCTACAGCTACAAAACTGTTCATACCCTTTCACCCAATGCCCCCAGTAGTAGGTCTGCATCCTCAATATGTTACTGAAAGCAAACAAAGCACTCAGTAAATTTTCACAACACCTTTTGTGAAAGAGCAAAATACTAGAAGGCAGCTAGGTGGCGCAGTGGATAGAGCACTGGCCCTGAAGTCAGGAAGACCAGAGTTCAAATCTAACCCCAGACCAAACAAGTGACATGTTCCAGCTGTGTGACCCTTGGAAAGTCCCTTAACCTTATTGCTTAAAAAAACATATTCTTTAAAAAAAATATAACAAAATTATGAAAATCTGTAGGTCCAATGATGGTCATATCACTTTACAAGTCCTGTGATATGAACATATTACTTTCCCTTTATAAACATAAATGCCTAAAAACACACAGTATTCTTTAAAAAAAAAAATAATGAAAATCTGCAGATCCAATGATGTGGTTCTCACTATACGAGTCCTGTGATATGAACGTATTAATGTGCCGTTATAAACATAATTTCAAAGCACAAAGAAAAAAACAGGATGACACATAACATGATAGGCTAAAGAAAGGGGAATTAGGATTATTTTTAAAAGTAGCAGCAGGCAGATGGGGTGTTACGCATCCCCAAGAGAATGGCTGGTGCTCTGGCTCTGGCTGCAGCTCAGGGACATGCTGAAGCCACCAAAGGCATCCACGGCCCGGGCCCCGGCCTCGCAGCCTCCGGCACAGGCCCAAAGTAGGGCCCGCAGAGAAAGCTTTCACCAAGAGCAAGGATGGCTGGCCAAAAGAAAGGGGATGGCCTATTTTGCTAAATAAGTTCGACTTACTGAAAAACATGAAGAAATACTAGCACAAACATTACTGTTACTTGAAAAAATGGAGAATGATCACGGTGGCCAGAAGACTGAAAAAAAGGCATCTTACATGAAAGCAGCTAAGTTAGCCAATAAAAGGAATTGGAACCTTTTAAAGGATATAAGAACACTAGAAGAGAAACTTGAAAAAAAGGTACATTTACAGTCACATGCTGAAATGGTTAGTCTTCAGACTCACTACTGGGCATCAATAGAAGAACAGGCCTCCGACTGGGAGCAGTTTCTTTTAGGAAGAACACAATATCCCATTGCTGTTAGGTAATCAAAATCCAGCAGGTAATGACATCAAAGAAGCCACAGAGAGATAACCACAAGAAAAATATCATTTTTCCTTGGGGCTCTGATTCAGAACATCTGTTCAGGAAAGCAAAACTTATCTGGACATTGTATAAATCCAAAGGAACTTGTTCAGCTAAAGGAATATATTAATGTGTATTCTGTTACCTATCTCTGTGACAGTAGGGAGAATTTTAAAATTTACTGGAAATTTTGTCAAACCAGGATTGAAATATATTACAGTCTTTTAAAAGAATAAGAATTGTCATTTCATCAAACTTTTAAAAGTATAAAAGAAAATTTTGAAAGATGAAACAAATTAAACACATGGTTAAAATGTGGATAAAAAAAGGAGCAGCAAAGCAATATCATAAAAACAAAACAGAAGAAAATATCAGAACTAACAAGCAAAAAGAGCACACTACTTAACTTAAATAATGTGCTTATTTTAAAAGAATGAATTCATGCAAGTGAGGCAGGAGAACTAAGATGATCTTCAATGAACAGAAGAGATATAACTGCCCTGTACTGAGGCAACAACTTTGAGAGTGGACATACATTTCAGTAAAGTGATACGTTAAAAAAGTAACTTCTTGAGGTAAAAAATGAAGTTAAAAGTCTCAACTCCTCTCAACAGGCCAGAGAAGCTTTGATAGACCACTTTGTTCAATGTTTTTCAAGTTTTCACCTAAAATGACCAACAGTTTACTAGTTTCTAGGGACCCATCTGCTTGGTTTTATGCAGTCACCTGGACAGCTGCTTCTTGGAATATCTGCCTCTGGCAACAAAGATGCTTCCTTTCTTTCCAACTGGCAAATCACATTTGGTTTGGAAACTGCAAATCCTGTTCATTGAAAATGAAAAAGTGCAAGACAGTCATCTCATATCAAGTTCCATCACTGAAGAGACAGATGAAATACTCCCTGCACCTTTAGTAGAAAGGTGGGGGGAATAACACTGCTGGATGAATCTTACACCACCAAGAGAACCATGTTAGCTGACTGTGTCTCAGTTGTCCTTTTTTTCTTCAATCATGGGAGGCTCAATGGGTAGGCTGGAGGAAGAAGTAGGATTTTTTCTTTCTTTTTATTGTGTTTTTTTTTTAGGTGGCAGGGGAAGGAGAAATTAAGTTTTTTTCAAAAAGCATCCACAAAACTGAATAAAAGAATTCAAAACGAGTTCAAATTCTCTTTGGAAAAAAAGGAGGCATGCTAGGAAGACCTCAAGGATAGTACAAAAGACCACTGGAAGGATACTCCATATTATGGTACAATGGATTACTGAGTAGGACTTGGGAAAATATAGCTCATTTCACTCACTGACTGCTTAGGCATTGGGAACACTGCATGATGAACCCTACGTTGGAATTAAACAGAATATCTTGGATTTGAGGTAACAGAGAGGGGAAGATACATTCTCAAGGATAACAACAAATCAGGAAATCAATTTCCAGGCATACTAAGCTTGGACCTTTTTCCTAGAATGAGGTAGCACAAGTAATCTGTCTCTTGGCTACAAATGCATTAGGAAGAGTTTCCTTTTGTATGCCAAAGAACAACTGTAAAAATCTTGCTCTCACAGTATATATCAAGACTCCAAAGGGGTAGCTGTTCTTACCCAAAGAGACCAAGTTCCTATAGTTCTCCAGCATCACATCCCTGTACAATTTTTTCTGAGATGGGTTCAATTGTACCCACTCTTCCTGGGTGAATTCCACAGCCACATCCTTGAACGTCACTGATTCCTGAAATACCAAAAACATTTGTGCTTACCCAGCCATAGCTCTTGACTGTTATGAAGTTCAAATATAAATTACTTGCCATTAAGGTGAGGGAATTGAGGGTTTTAGGACAGCAAGTGGTACAGGCAATTGAGGCAATTGAGTCAACCACACTGACTCCATTTTGTGACTCAATTCTGGAGGTAGCTCAGTTCTTTATCTGTTCAGTTATAAGTCTAGTCCAACTTCTGTCTTGTGAGAAAAATTTATTCAATTGGGAGAAAACCTAATTGCATTGTTTGAACTTAGCCTTGTGTGGCTGAGAAGAGACCTACTCTACCTGCTGTTTAGTCCTTAAGGACCCAGATTATGCTGATCAGAAACTCATTCAGATGCAAAAAGACTGATGAAAGGAGTTTTCACACAATTGTACATCTGAAGCAACCCATATGTCTTATCTGAAAACTGGCCCCATACTGAACAATTAATTACTGTTCCCTTGTTCCTTTCATTGTATACTACTTTCAGGGAGTGGGACACCTCATTCTGAATTTACGGAACTGAACCTGTTGCCTTTCCCCCTCCCAACATGAAAAGTCCCCAGTCGTTTCTCCAATTAGAAATCAGATTACCTAACATTTTATTATTTGCTTTTAATTAATTGGTCTTCTTTGATTGGTTTTAATTTATAAAAGTATGTCTTTGCCTATTCAGGGTCCAGCCCCAAGATGAGGAAGGGGCCTGGTCCCAGTTTTTCATGCAATGGCCAGGTACTGCTTAATATACTGATATGCCCAAAAGACTGAACCTTTGTTTCTTCAGCCATTTCATCTTTCACTTGCCATGAGGAATTGTTCCGTTTATTTATTTGCATCCCAATACAGTGTCTAGTATATAGCAGGCACTTAAGAATTCCTCTCCCAAAAAGAAGTGTGCATAGAATGATTTTACACACATACACGCGCACACACACACACACACAGAGCTGTATATAATGGTAACCATCTCTAGAGTTGGGGGGAAGGGAGAAAAATTTATATGAAACTTTATTATATATTTAAAAGGAATAGCAAGTTGTAGATAATAGATTTTGAGTTTCCTATACAATCATCTTTTTTTTTAATATAAATGTATTGGACATGCTTGTTTTATTCCATAAATTAAAAATTAAACAAATAAAATTTAAAAAAAAAATTCCTCTCTGATTAGTCTGTAAATTTCTTAAGGGAAGGGGCTATTATTGCCATTCTTGGTATCCTTGGCACTTAGCACAGTGCCTGGCACTATGTAGGTATTTAATAAATGCTTATTGTTGTAAATGGTTCCAATGACATCAATTTTAAAGTCGTCCTTCCTTTTTTTTTTTTTTTTTACAACGAACACCAGTGGCTCCTACTTCTACCCTCTGAGCTGAAGAAGTAGTATGGCTAATTTCTTTTCTACCTGCTCAAATAAACAATGAAATAGCTAAGGATAGTTATCATGTAGTCCTAAGTCTTCTCTTCCAGGCTAAATAAGCATAGTCCCTTTGACCAATTAGCCTGACCTCTTCACAAGTAAGGCAGTTACCTTCCTCTTTTCATCTAATCACTGTGCTTCTTAAGATGTGGCGCTCTGAAATGACCATGATTGTGTGTAATGTTCCTGGAACCATAAGAGCAAAGGCAAGCATGGGGGACTACAATCTCCTGTAACAGCATGTGAAAACTTTTTAGTGCCAGAAAGGGTGTTAAAGGACCACTACTTTCCAGTTCATATATTTAGAGCTGGAAGAGACATGATAGTCCAATTTTCTCATTTTACACATTAGGGAAGTAAGGCCCAGAGGGTGAAAATGACTTGCTTAACATCAAAAGGGGAATACATGGTAGATGAGCACTTTCAGCCCAGGTCGTCCTGGCTCCAAATCCAGGGCTATTCTCACTGTACCATGTTGCCATTCCCTTTCTATAATACCACCAGCCCAAGCCACAACTGAGTTTTTACAGAAAAACACTCATAAGACCACACTTTGGGGCAGCAAAAACTGGAAACAAACTGAATTCTCAAATAATAGCTAGAAAAAATTGACACATGAATTAACACTGGACTCTAATGATACAGTTAAAAATGACAAATACGAGGAATTCTGAGAAGCAATGGCAGATATATACTGACAGTACAAAATAAGCAGATCCAACCAAATATAATACGCAAAATTACAAAAATATAATTAAAAAATAAAAATAAAAATATGCTAGACTCCAAGTAATTGGAAAAAAAGTTGAACATATTACTTATCAGACTTATGGATAAGTGAATAATTTATGAATAAGCAAGAGACAGAGAGCAAAGTTAGGTATAAAATGGATGAATTTCAATTCCAGTAAATTAAAAGATTTTGTATTAATAAAACAAATATAGCCAAGATTGGAAAGAAAGCAGAAAATCATGGGGAAAATTTTAGAGACAATTTATCAGTTAAAGGACTCACATCTAAAATATATAACCTTATCTAATCTATAAAAATATGAGTCATTCCCCAAATGATAAATGCTCAAAGGAAATGAACAGGCACTTTTCCAATGAAGAAAACAAAATAATTTTTAGTCCCATAAAATATTGGTCTAAATCATTATTGGTTGGAGAAATGCAGAAAAACAACCTTAAGATAGCATTTTACACCAACTAGATTGGCTAAAATGATAGAAGAAAAAGTGACAAATGTTGGAGAGAATGTGGAAAAATTGGGACACTAATTCAATGTTAGTGGAATTGTAAAATGATCCAACCACTCTGGAGAGCAATATGGAATTATGCCCAAAGACTTATTACTACTTATCTCTTCGACCCAGCAATACTACTACTTGGTCTATTCCCAAAGATGAATAGGGAAAAGGGAAAAGAACCTATATATTCTAAAATGTTTATAGTAGCTCTCTTTGTAGGGGCAAAGAACAGAAATTCCAGGCATGCCCATCAATTAGGGAACGGCTGAAGAAGCTGTGGTATATAATTGTGATGGAATACTACAGTGCTATAAGAAATGAGCTAAAAGATTTTAGAAAAGTATAGAAGGATTTCAAGAAATAATGAATAAAAATGAGCAGAACAAGTGAACACTGTACACAGTACCAGCAATATTTTAGGAACGACTCTGAATGAATAGTTATTATGACTATTATAAATACCCAAATTAACTACAAAGGATATGTGAAGAAAGACATTATCTACATCCAGAGAAAGAACTAAGAAACAGAAGAACATATAGGATAATTTTATTTACATAAAAGCATACGTGTCTAATGGTAGCCATCTCTAGGCTGAAATGGAGAGAGAAGCAAAAAAAGAAATTTACATGATAATTTTATTGTACATTTGAAAAAATAGCAAGTTGTGCATAGCAGATTTGGATTTTCATCTTTTTTATGTTCATCTTTTTTACTGTACTTTGTTAAGGAAATGCTTGTTTTATTCCATCAATTATGAATAAAATCTAAAAAAATGTTACCACTTCTGAAAACAGATGGAGATCACTAGAGGAGAAGGTTTAATGAACTGTCACATAAAGTTACTATCACTGGTATTTTTATGCAACTACTTTTTTGGTATAAAGGATATAATTTAGAGGGTGAAGGAAAGAAATCTTTTTCTAGAAATGACTATAGTGAAATAGCACAAAGCCTTATAGAAGAAATAAAAGAAACCTTTCTAATTTCTCTCTAACCACTCATTTATTCATGTATTCTAGGAATGTGCAAGAATTCAAAGTCACTAGCCCAGGCTTTGCAGAATCTATCCACTCTTTTTAGAAACTTGATAAATGTCACCTTTTCTGTCCTGTGACACTTTGCCCCATTCTCCAAGATCTTTCAGAAACACACGATAGTGGCTAAGCAATGAAGCACATTATACAATCCTATCAGAACAGCTGGATCCTGACTTTTACTTCTGGCATCCACTTCCTGTTCACAATTTCTGGGCTCTCATTCCTAGTTCAAAGTTCACCACTGTTCAATGAGAAAACAAAAGCCAAGGAAGATTTTAGTTGTTCAGCTTTCTCACAGGTATCCCTTTGTCATCACCATCACACCATCAACGCTGAAATATGGTCTTCACTATTTTTTGATCTTGCCTCCAAGCTAGATTTTAAGAATCTTTTGGTAACTTTTATCACAAGAATAATTTCTTTCAGGCTTTGTCGTCTCTCCACTACTTATTTTTAAACTGCTCCATTTCCTTTTTTATTCATCCTGAATTAATGGTAATTTAAGACATTTTCAGACATTTTCATTATCATGCTTCAAGTCAATGATCCAAAATAACTCTGAAGGACTCACAATGAAAAATGCCATCCTGCCCCAGAGAAAGAACTGAAAGTGTCAGAATGCAAATTGAAGCATATTTTCTCTTACTTTATTTTTCTTGAGGTTTTTTTTTTATGTTTTCTTTCACAACATAACCCACTATGGATATATTTTGCATGACTACACATGTGTAACCCATATTGAATCTCTTGCCTTCTCAATGAGCGGGGAGAAGGATAGTAGATGACCGGGTGGGGAAAGAATTTCTAACTCTAAGTTTTAAAAAGAAATGTTAAAAATTATCTTCACATGAAACTGAGGAAAAATAAAATACTAAAAGCTAAAAAAAAAATCAAAGCTGAATCTCAAATACAAGTCTTCTGACACACAGCCTGGTCTTTTCTTCACACTTTGCTGCCTCTTACTCCCTAGTTCAAGTCATTTCAACACAGCATTTCCCCAAAAAGCAGATATGAATCAAGACCTTGAGTCTTAAACGCTTATTATACATTAGGTAAAAAGGCATAATGTATCAGGGTACCAGGAGGGAGGAATGCCCATACCAAAAAGGATTCTTCTCATCCTTCCTCCTCCAGTCTAAGGAAGGAAGGCCACCCTTAACAAAAACCAATTTTCTAGCACTCCCATTTTCCCCAACACACTGGGAAAAATGGATAAGGAAAATCCTTGTAATAACTATTCACAGACAAGCAAAACCAATCCCCACATTGGCCATCT